CTCATGGTCATGTCAACACTGCATTTGAGAAGTGCAGTCAGAGCAGTTTTTCAGTGCAGCTTGAGAAGGAGGGCCTTGAGGTTTGTGGCCCAGAAGCCACTTGGATAAATTTGTACCTTCCTCAAAATCTTGCATTCCTTACCAAGCTTAAGAGTCCCAGTAACTTGACAGTTTGATGCTGGGAGGTCATTGCAATAGCACAGAATTACTAGGGGAGGAAAAGGAGATGACAAAAAATTGATTGTAACACTTGAAACTCTCCAGCCTCATATTTAGAAGAAACAGCTCCATGAGTGAGTTAACAGAGCAGTTTGTACATGAAATGAAGAGTCTGGATGTGGATGCACACACCTGGGTTAGGGGAAGAGAGGTGAAAAGCCAACACTGGCACTGTGTGTTACTTGCACCCTGATGAGGTAAAATTCCTGAAAGCCACATGGCACCGAGGTGCAGAGGACATTGGTGTCACCAGATGGAGAGAAGATGTGCATTTCCTGCCCTGAGCCTTCTTACAGAGCAGAGCAGAGGGTGACTGCTGTGCCTGCAGGGCAGGAGCTCTTCACGTGGACAGAGAGACAACAGGAGTGCTGAAGCTGTCACTGTAGTGGGAGGCTGAATACTTTTCTTTCTCTGAAGAAGGGAAATGAGGAGAGAATTTGTGTTCTGGTTTTTATTTCCTCTTTGCTTCACACCCCCCCACCACCCCTCCACCTCAATAATCATCCTGGATCTTGTAATACACAGGAATTCCTTGGTTTTGTGTAGATTGAGTGTCTGAGGAGAAGTCAGGTGGTTCTGGAGTTCCTTCCACCCTCTCCAAACACTTACAGGGACTGCCTGGGTCTGCATAGAGCTGAGCTTTGATGTTGCTGGACAACCACAGCTCATCCTTGCTACTCACTGTTGGTGGGGCAAGCTAAAAGCTGTGCTCTGACTAATTCCATCAGCTGTGGCTTGGAGCAGGTTGTAGATGAAGAAAGCAGCTGTGCAGCAGTGGTGTGAGGGCTGACATACAGAGGTTTCCATTGCCATTTATGAGCAGAGCTCGTTCCTTTCCCAGAAGAACTGCAGGTGACCTTTTAATAAGTCTGCTTTAAAGGGTCTTACTGAGTTCTGTGAGCGTGCACAGGTTTATTTGTCTGTCCTGTTCTCTTCCAGAGCCTTGCACGTGCACCCAAACCAACCAGCAGCATGCAGGAACGAGCCCACTTGGAAGCTGGCAAAGCTTTTCTGCCTGCCAAGAGCCAAATCCCAGCTTTCTTGGGATGCTGTGGAATTTCTAAGGCAGATCTCTGCTGCCTGGCAAGGGCTGATTTGTGTCACGTGCGCCGTGGCATCAGCAGAGAAGCAGAAGTGTCAGCAGCTGCAGGATTTCTGTCAATCTTTCATGTCATTGGTTTCTTGAATAAAGAACAACATTTGCACATCAAATGAGTCCAACTGACAGAGTCAGGATTTCACTAGATCCAGTCAGAGGGAAACTTTGATGAAGTGGTTAATTGTACCCAGGGATAGCTGCAAAAGTAGTTTTTCATCAAGAGGTTACAGCAGAACTGGGATTATTAAAGAATGGTGCTGATTTGTGGACTGAGGAACAATAAATTATTATCTTCATTCAGATTTAATCCTCAACATTCATCCCCTCTATATTTATTTTTGCAGTGTCTTTTATATTATTATTAAATATATGGAACACAACAGGATTGTATGATACATGCTGCTTCTGATTTTCTAAAATTTGAACTGAAAAGATAGAAATCAGCTTAGATTGAAGATTTTCTAGCTCTTCTCACTTAAATGAAGAAATCATTCTCCTGATCCTGAAAAAAATATTTAGTTTAATTCAGGGCTATTGTTGCATGTGTTAACCACTATAAAGAACAGAATTGAAATAAAATTCAGCTTAGTGTTTGACTCTGTAATATTTGAGCCATTCAAAAAATCTTCAAGAGTTTATTCTGGAAAACACAGGGCAGAATTAGGAACAAGAAACATTTACCAAATTTAAAAGTAGTTACTTTTTTTGAAACTGTCATTCTTTTTTTTGTAATTTATTAAGTGCTGCATTCCTTAAAAAATTCAGGAAACTCCAGTGCCCAAAGCCTCCAAGCAGGATTTCGAGTCCAGTGTGCTGAACAAACAGCATGAAAAAATAGAAAGGGCAGACAGTAGGTGAGAAATGAAGACTTTTGGCCAGGTTATGTGATTTTTCTCCTGCAGAGAGTCAGCAGAAGCAGACAAAAAAAAAAATAATCTTACAACATCCTGGACCAGCGTCCTGCTGGCTGCTCAGTCCTGCCTGTGTGGGAGCAGCCACTGGGCACATTCAGGTGCTGTCCCGTGAGAAGGTCTCAAAGCCACCCCTGAGAGGCTCAGCTTGAGGAACAAAAAGGAATTTTATGAGCTCAACTGAACTTTCAGGAAGGAGAAAATGAGGGTTTAGAGCACCCTTTATCCCTCACTCTTGGAAGTTGAAGAAAAAGGCCTTTCTCCTCAAAGCAGTGTTCAAAGCCAGCCAGTAGGTCATGTTAGGTGACTGATGCTAAAAAAATTTTCTCGCCTGCTTTTTGGGGTTGGAGGTACATGGGACAAAGAGATGTGTTGGTGTTGAGAAGGGTTAATTTGTTGCAATTGAGATTTCTCCAGAAGGGCTGCAGTTTTGGGAACATTGACTTGAGAAGCAGATTAAGGCTACAGAAAGAGAAGCAGAGAGATGCATTAATTTGCCTCAGAATATCACAGTGTCTAGAGAATTAGTACACTTGTTATTCTCATGGGTTTTTATATATTCCAAATAAAAATACTTATCCCAAAACCGCAGTGGCACTCCTCCCCTCTCTGCCATTGCAATCTGAAAATGTTAAAAAAATCTCCAGATTCCCAGATGGCAAAATAACATCCTGGCTAGTTCTCTCCTCAGTGTATGTTGTTAATTTATTTGTTGTTCTAACCCAGTTATTTTTTCTTTTTCTTCTCTCTGGATGCCACAATTCTTTTGGTACTTCAGAAGTAAAGAATAAAGCCCTTCAGTCTTAAATATGAATAAAAGAAAAGTCCAGGCCTTTGCAGGGTGGGAGATAAATGTTATAAGAAGTCCTGCATCACAGCTTTGAGTTCAGTGTAAGCACCTTGTTCGATCTAAAGCTGTGAACAGACTGTAAATATTTCATTTTACTGTCTTTGCCTTATTTTCTGCATTCCTCTGTCACTTCATATCTACTGATCTCAGTCTACTCCCTTACAAGTCATTTTGTTGTTTGCTTCCCAAAATCTGTGGTCATAAATGAACCTCAGCAACATTTTTTTTTTTTTAGGGATTTCCTCATAGCTTGGTGTGGCAAGTCAGAAAGGCTGGTCAGGTCTGAGCTGCTCTCCAGCACGTCCCAGGGTACAGCCCTTCACCCAGTGCCACTCTGCTGAGTTTTGATTTCCCAAAGATTGCCAGCCTTCTGGGCAGCTCCTTCCAAACTTCTCCTCCTTGCCCTTCACCAGACCCTTCTCATCCTGTCCCACGCTGACCTCAGTTTGTCAAGCCCTTTGCTCTTCCCTCTCTCCCCACATCAGGATTTTCTTGTTTAGAGGCTCCTGCTCTTGCACCTGGTCAGTCTGGGTGCTCATCCTTTCTGAAAACCTTGCTCTCTCCTACCACTGGAAAATGAGAGGGGCATTTCTTTTCTTCCTCTTCCCCTGAATGATCCACCCTTTGCTTCAGAGCTCTCTGTGCTTTGCTTTGCTCTACTGTCTGCCCCATCCCATCCCTGTGAGTGGCTGAAAGATGTGTTCCCTCAGTGCCTAGGCTTTACTCTTCCCACTCTGCCTCTTCTGTGGGTCATTATTCCAGATTTCTTTATTCCAGACCAGGCTGGACAGGGCTTGAAGGAACCTGGTCTATCGGAAGGGATCCCTGCCCATGGCAGGGTGTTGGAACGAGATAACCTTTAACATCTCTTCCAAGCCAGACCTTCTGTGATTCTATGATTACTCCAAATTCCTTTATTCCAACACCTCCCTTCTATCAGATCATCCCTGTTTTTATTATTTCTATCTTTCATCCCTGCTTTTGTTATTTCTCTTCTTTCTCAAGGCTTGCCCAGCACCTCCTGGACCGGGTCCCTCCTTCCCCGCTGCCCCAGCATCCCTCTGCTCATCCTCAGTTCCATGCAGCAAAGGCAGGAATTGCTTCTCTCCAAAAAAAAAAAAAAAACAAAACAAACAAACAAAAAAAAAAACCCGAGGAGTTCTCCTCCTCTGATGGCTTTTCCTGCTCTCCCTGGCTTTAATTTGCAGCCAGCATTTCTCTGCAGAAGCGCTCATCCCTGGAGCTAACAACAGAGCCGTGCCTCGGTGTGTCAGAGGCAGGGAGGAGGGCGAGGGGGATGCAGCGGCGCAGCGCGCTGGCGGAGCCGGGCGGCAGCTGGGAGCCTGCTGGGGACACCGGGGAGACGTGAGCCCCTCAGCCGGGCCCAGCCCCATCCCATTGGCTCCCGAGCCGCCGGATTTAAAGGGAAGAGGAGCTGGGAGGGCTGAGCTGGGAGGGCTGAGCTGCGCAGGCAGACGCAGACTCAGCCAAGTTGTCAGCGCGCTGCGAGCGGGAGCGGCTCTCCAACACATTGATGCTCCTTTGGCTCCAGAAAGGAGAAAAGGAAGAGAGGACTGAAAAAGCAAAACAAACAAAAAAACCACACACAAAGGGGTGATCCAGAAGGAGCCTGATCCAGTCCAGCAGTCCCAGAGGGAATAATGGATGTGACCGTCTCTCAGTTCATCTTAGAAGAATTTGATGTGAACTGCAGCCTCCTGGATCGTTTGCACGAGACTTTTTTAGAGAGTTCCTCTATCCCTTTCCTGGGCTTTGATGGTAGGAGTTGTTACCTGGCGCAGAGCTCGGGAAAAGCTTCACGAGTGCTGAGATTCGGTTTGCTTTGTGATGCGAAGTGAGTGGCTTTTGTGCCTTCTCAACTGCTTCTTTTCCCCTTTCTGTCTCGTTTTTTTAACCCCAGGTCCGTACTGCAATGCCACCACGGACCAGATCGGGACCTGCTGGCCCAGAACCTCTGCGGGGGAACTCGTGGAGAGACCCTGCCCGGAGTTCTTCAATGGGATCAAGTACAACACCACGAGTAAGTACAAACTCCTTTCTTTTCCCGCAGAGCTCGCGTTCAGAAGGCACCTGGGGACACCCAAAATCTATTTTCATTACATAAAAAAAAAAAAAACAATAAAATAAAAAAAAAAGTTTGCTTGGGAACCAACATTTCCTCCACATTCCAGCATGTATATTCAAAATTTTTGCCTGGAATGATGCAGATTTCTCAAAAGCGCAGGCTTGTGGACGCTGTTTCCTCTTTGCTGAAGTACATTTAGGAAGATCCGGGCAGAAAATCTCCTCTGCAGTCTGAGGAGAGTTTATTGTGCTTTGTGTGTTTGTGCATGTGCAGCTGCCTACAGCTCAGTGTGTTTGTAGCAGTGCTTCACCCACCTGGATAATTAGACAACCTTTGGCTCACGGAACACTTAAATTCCTACCACCTCAACTGCATTTTGGCAAGTCAGTCCCTTTTCCAGGCTGGCTGTGTGAGCAGGGGTTCAAGCCCTGCTGGGAGTTGGATTAACAGGCAGAAAGGAGGCTGAGGGCTGCAATCTGTTTTAGCAACTTCATCAGGGACTGGCTGCTGGGGCTGGAGCTGCATCAGCTCTGCACAGGAGACAGGAGAGGAAATTGGAGGCAAATAATATTCAAAGCAAGGGAGCATGGGGGCTCCTTAGAAATCTCCTGGATGCTTTATTCTTCGAGGTAAACAATCATGATGACTCACTACAAATTTATTATTCAGGCTGTGGGATCCAGGCACTCATTTCCTTCTGCTTATCTGTCAATACCCTTTGGACCTTTCATTAAGAGTTTTAAAACATATTAATTCCAAATGTGTGCACCCACTTGTTTGTCACTCATTTTTTCAGTGTGGTTTTGACTGTAGGGATAATTTCATTCTATGCTTCACTCAGAACTTTTGCTTGGGTGTTGGTGATCTCACTTGCAGGTAGTGTTAATTTTGTGGGGCCAGTATTCTCCTTAAGTCCCATAAAAGAGTGACCCTGACATGTCAGATCTTATTTTTAAACTTGTAGAAAGTGAATTTATTCCTTCCCCAGCTCTAGGTATCATGGTCAGGTAACTGGCCAAAAGTTTGGTGCATTGGCCCTGAGAAACAAAGTCCTCTGTCAGATTAGTTATTAGGGACAGACTTTGAGCAGAGTAAAAGGTTGCCTCAGAGAACTGCAAAATCATCCTAAAGCCCTCTAATCTCAGACTTGGGTCTTTGCAATAAAATAGGAGGGAACTTGGAATGGGCTGGGTGATGCTGGCTTTGATTACAGCAGAGACTTCACTACTTGGACAAATCTCAGCTGAGACCAGAAGAAAATTTCTGAGAATTAAGGGCAGTGCGAACACAGTGGAAAGAATTTAAATGTTTTTTCCTGTAAATGAAAGAAAAAAAATATGGAATACCCCAGTTTGGTTTTTATAAACTCTGTTGATGCTTTCAGTAGTTCATCAATGACCTGATTTAAAGTTCTCTCCTTCTCAGTGGTGGCTGCTGCTTGTATTGCAGTGCTAATAACTTTCCTTAAATCCTTTGCTTTTAAAACAATGGCATGTTAATTAAACTAAAGACTGATGGAAATATGTTCTTGAAATGCTGAAGTATTATTTTCTGAGGAAATGGATATTTTTCTCCTTTCAACATAAAGTGTGAGTAACTACCTCCAGATGATCTCAGACACTTCCATGTGTGTAGTTCCTCCAAGTTGTAGTGCAGAAATTGGCGGGAAGGATTATATCAAAATCTGGTCAGCTTTTGGAATCAATAGCTCCTTGGGAAATAGCAGCTAAGTGATTAAAGCTAGGGAAAGCAGTAGGACAGCAGGCTAAGGTTTGAATACACAGGTGCAATCTCTTTTGGCATTTGAAAAATATAATTACTGTATGCAAAACACGTCCAGAATTTGGGAAAACCAAATATTAACACATTCTGACCACTTGCATGATTTCACCAAGTTGGTTTGTGGGCTGCCTCATTTGTGATGAGGCTGATTGTGCTGAAAACCTCAGCTGTGTTCCCCCTGCAGATGATAAAATGAGCACAGACAACTGATTAAAGAATGGGAAATGGATCTTGCAAATCTCAGAGGTGAATAATACAGCTCAAAATGAAGGTCTGATAGGAGATGGCTTGAATCAACATAAGATTTCTTCCTAGGGTATGTAGTTTTGTTCTATTTTGTTTTGCATTTTGATGAGACAGAGGGAGAAATGATGGTTTGTTATATTACACTGATTTTTTTTTTGAGAGCAAAATTAGACCAATTTAGAAAAATCACCTTCCATTGCCTTTCTTCTACTAAGAGCTTTTCCAGCTCTAGGGTGTAACTCAGCATTTATTATACTCTCAGGTATCCTACGTTCATGAGCTTCCACCTTTTAGGTGCTACAGCTTTTCTTTGCATTGATTTTATATATCTGTGAGTATATTTTGTATATCTGTCAGTATATTTCTCATTTGGGAGCCTGTAAAAAAATTGGATCCGTTTCGGTGATTTATTTTTCACTTTTAAAAATCAGGCTCTCAAAGATTCCAATTTCCCACCAATTTCCTAAAAGCAGCTCATCAGCTGGCGGGAATGAACCCAGCAGCATTCCCTGTCAAGGAAATCTTTTGCATTGTAGACACTGGCAAATCCAAACTGGGAAGTGCCCAAACTGTGTGAAAAGCTTTTGAAAAACTCAGAGAAGCACAAAGCACTGACCCATGGCTGAGTTTTGGTACTCGTGGGGCGGTTTCTGCACCTCACTGTAATCTCTGTGCATGTAGGAGATGGAATTCAAGACAAAAACAGACAGGTAGGTTCCTCCACACATCAGCTCATCAGAGGCTTTGGATGCACCTCCCCTGCTTTGTGTCCATCCTGTCACCTCTCAGGCTTTGATGTCCACTCTGACCCAGATGGGGAAGGCTATCAATGCCAGCAAATTCAATGAAAAAGCATTTGAGGATAAAAAACAAACAAAAAACAAAAAAAAAAAACACCACAAAAACACCAAATAAAACCCCAAACCCACCAACAAACCCTTAGAAAAAAGAGCTTGTGCTTAAAAAACCCCCCTCCTGTTTGCCATACTAGAATAAACTGTTGGTGTAAAATATTTCCATCCTAACTGCAAGAGATTCCCGTGGTGATTCTGTGCCTGGGTCTGTGTTTCTCTGTGTCTCCTGGGAGCTGCTGAGTAACTCAGATAAGTTTCAGCTGCATTTGTAAAACAAAGTCTGTCAGTCTGTGAAGATTTTTTATCCCTGACATTTTGTTATTTTGGGGATATGCTGGGGTTTTTTTCCCACCCTCTTTATTTGGGAAATAAAGTCATGTTGACAGATCACACTCACTCTGGTTACCCTGCAGTGTGAATATGGGCAAAATGCTCTTTGACCAAGGATCTGAAAATTATGCCATCCACTTACAGCTTTGTAGTTTTTATGTATTATTCTCAAAGGGGGAAAAATTAAAAGAAACAGGGAAAAAAAAGGTCTGTGTTGCTGCAGTGTGTGACTGTGCACTTGTCTCTCTCAGGTTCTATATTTAGTGAAAAATTACAATATCATTGCTGCCCTCTAGATGTGTTTATGCTTTGACAGTGTGAAGCTCTTAGTTTTGTTTTAGGAAACAGATTAATTCACTTATTAGGATATCCTGAGGCTTGATTAATTCAGCAAATGGCCTGTAATGAGTCTGGCTTTGCTGCTTGCTAAAAAGCAGCTGTTCAAGCACGTAGTTAGAGCGTGTTACAGGCTAAAGTATGATGCCTACATTAACACTTTCCCTACAGATTTCCTTGTGCAAAGTGAAAATCCAGGGTTCAATGTTCATCTACTGGAAAAGAAATGTTGACTTTTGTAACCTCAACCAAATTTTGTCCCAAGCCCCTGGCGTGGCAGGGTGTTCTGTGGTGACACCCATCCATCATGGGCTGCTCACTTTGCTCTGGGCTGCAGACAGGAGCTGCAGGCATTCAGAAGGTCTTTCAGATTAAAACCCACAAAGTGAGGTATTTCCAAGTAGTATTGACAACTAATTTAAGTATTTAAGCTCTAATACAAGTCAGAGCTCTAATTGACAGAAGGACTGAAGCCTAGGGAGTTACTGAGCTCAGCCTAAATGAGCAGCTCAGCTCAGCAGCCCCTGCAGAAGTGGCAGTACTGTTTGATATGCCAAGGGGTATTTTGTTGCTGTTTTAGGGGGCCCAGCCTTGTTGTAGTTTTGTGTTTCATCTCCCAGGCCACCCAGGTGTTGCAGATGCTCAGTGACAAATGATCCAATGCCCATGTTCAGGCAGCTGAGCTCATCCCTGGGCGTGTGTTGTGCTGAACTGATCCCGCACCTGAGGGTTGAGATCAAACTGCTTTTGCCATCAACAAAAGGTCTCTGTAGCTCCAACTCCCAGACTGCAAATCCCCCCCACCTCTCTCTCTCAGTGTAGGGAAGCTCTTTGACTGAAACAACCACTTCACAGGAGTGTTTTGGATATCATACCAAGCATCCTCCTCACCTTCTCCGGGGACCGTGCAGCTGAGAACAGGCACATAATCACTGCTAACCTTGCCCTGATGGGGACTGGGCTCCTGCATGTTCTGAGGGGGTGTGCATCACCTTTTCCTTGGCCCTACCACCAGCTACCTGCTGAAAAAGCTTTGGAGAGGGTTGGTGATTGAGCAACTGATGTGCTGGAGCTCACCTCTAGGTCAGGGGTGGCTCCGTGTGGTGGAAAAGCCTCTCCTCCAACCCATGCTTTCAAAAAAAGCTCAGTAGCCTTCTGTTGTCTGGTCGCAAGGCAGTTTATTGCAAGTTATCTAAAAGATTTTCTCCTCGGGCTGCTGTGGTTTGCTCACAGCTCAGGCAGAGGCACACACACACCCTGACATCCTCTCTGACTCCCGACTGCTTCTTCTCTCCCTGCCCAGGGCTGCTGCTGTCTTTTATATGG